GGGAATGATTCAAATGACCAATTTTAGGGCTGCTTCAGCTATTCCTCAATTCCCCATCTCACCCGTTCCCCTCTGGATTTTCTCATGTTTGGTTGGTGTCCTCCTTAAGGTGTAGTGCCCAGAACTGGACTCAGTTGTCCTCTGACTTCACAGAGGAAAGTGGGCCCAGGATTGCCCTGAATCTGGGCATAGAATTTCTATCAGCAGAGGCCAAGTTTCTGACCATGATGTTCTGGGGCTGACAAAACACAAGTATTGTCAGCTGGTACTGGTCTCCAGCCACGCTTGTGTCTTTTAAGGAGTGACAGTAACTGTTCTTTGCAAATATGGCTATTCATGGGGACTCCTTTTCTTTGCCCAACAGAGGCCCAGTGTTCTAGCTCTAAGTAGGACTCTAATGCCAGCATGTGAGTCACACTCATTTGCTCCTGGTCTTTGCAGAGTTTTAGTCCAGTTCTTGTACACCAGTACCTTTTCCCCCTCTGTCCAACTTGCACCATCACCCTTCTTATCTACCACGATGTGCTTGAACATAATGATCTTCTCCCCATTCCACGTAGCTCCTCTGTAGTATTGTGCTGCATTTTGAAAAAGCAGTCTGCTGCTGGTATCAAGATACAGGAAGGAATACTGATCAACTATTGGCAATAGCTGTGTTTGGTTCTTTAATATCTATATCGTCTTGAGTATTTCTGTCTTGAATACTGAGATATATTGCCATATTTATGATCATTTTCTGACAATTGCCATACAAATGTTGGATAATTTTTTAAAATTTATATCTAACAGTGGAATGCATTACAATTCTTATTACATATATAGAGCACAATTTTTCATATCTCTGGTTGTATACTTAGTATATTCGCACCAATTCTTGTCTTCATACATGTACTTTGGATAATAATGATCATCTTGCCACAAAAAAAATTAAGAGCTGTCAACATAGGAAAACACTGTTTTGACTTTAAGTATTCTTCAACTGGCATTTCCTTATTACTCTAGGTTTATGAAGCTCTCAGTTTAGCTCAATTCTGTTTCTTCATGTGCATCCTGCATACTGGTGTACCTTATGCTTTTGACGTCATGGTTACTCTTAAAAAGTATATCCTTTGTTTGGGCATCTTATTTCCTGGCTTTTCTCACACTTGGCATTTCCGAAAACTTATTGATGCATACTATCCTCATTTTGGAAATTCATATTGCAGTTGAACATATTAAATGCTCTGAATCCTGCATTCAGGAAAGCTGTTCACATTTGCTAATACAATATTCCTTAAAATTATTTGACTAAGAAGTTTTTTTCCCCACAAAGTACCAGTTAACAATTCATAGAATGTGATTGTGTAGAATACATTTGAGGAGAGGCATCATGTTTTCCTTACAACTCATTTTCTCAGTCTTTTTAAGTTTTTTTTTTTTTTTTAATGAGAGTGTTGCTGGGAGCTGGTCCTAAACAGAATTGTGATGAGGGGCTGGGTTTGCTTGTGGTTTGTTATTTCTACTTCCTTTCTCTATGCCCTCCTTCTCTGACTGGGGATATGTACCCAGCCCAGACCTTGCTCCTGCTGCTCTCTCAATTTGTCTGTGAGATGGACTCCTCTCTCTCTGTTTCCTTCTCTGGACTTGTTTCCTTTTTGCCAGAAACTGCCTATGTATTATATTTTTTCCATATGAAATTGGAAAAGACCAGATCACTGAATGTTAAAGTTTTGATTACAAAATGCAAACTTTATGTGTATTTTCTTTGCCATTGGGCTGTTTGCAATTTTACAAAGATCAACTTTTGAGGGATGGGGGGTAATGGGCATTGAACTCAGGGGCACTCAACCACTGAGCCACATCCCTAGCCTTATTTTGTATTTTATTTGGAGAAAGGGTCTGAGTTGCTTAGCACCTCACTATTGCTGAGGCTGGCTTTGAACTTGCGATCCTCCTGCCTCAGCCTCCTGAGGTGCTGGAATTAAAGAGGTGTGCTGCTAGGAGCCACAGCAAAAGTATTATGATACGTGGCACCTTTGGTTAAGGTGACTGCCAGCTAGCCATTGAGATGATATGATTATGTTAAGATTTACATTCATATGGAAATTGGACTCCTGCTGTTCACCTCGGCCTGCTATGGACTCATGTTACGGGACTCCCAGAGAGTTCCCATTGGTTGGGGAAGGATAGTAGGCGGGAATTCCGGGGGAGGTGGGGGGGGGCCGGTTCCGGTAGACGCACACACATGTGTGGACCAGCTTGCTAGCCGGGCACACACGGGGCACTGGCGGCCTTGTTAAAAATAAAGCTTTGTTCCTGCTTGAGTGGCTTGTGATTCTGTGCCCAGCCGGGTTGCGGCAGTGTGCCACCGCCCCCAGTTTACAAAGGTTGACTTTCTAAGCTAAAAGATAAGATATGGATTTCATAAGCAGAGACACCTGGGAAATATCTATTTCCTACCATTTACTACTTTGGTAGCCTTTATTAAAGTGATTGAACCTGGGGCTGGGGATGTGGCTCAAGCGGTAACGCCCTCACCTGGCATGCGAGTGGTGCTGGGTTGGATCCTCAGCACCCCCCAAAAATAAAATAAAGATGTTGTGTCCACTGAAAGAGGGAAAGGGAGAAAAAAAAGGGAAATTGCATGGAAATGGAGGGAGACCCTCATTGTTATTCAAAATTACATATAAGAGGTTGTGAGGGGAATGGGATAATAAACATGGAGGGAAGGGGGCTGGAGATGTGGCTCAGCGGTAGCGCGCTCGCCTGGCATGCGTGCGGCCCGGGTTCGATCCTCAGCACCACATACCAACAAAGATGTTGTGTCCGCCGAGAACTAAAAAATAAATATTAAAAA